TCAGTCAAAGCCTCATGGACTAAAGAGATGGCTTAGTGGGTAATGTGCCTGCTGCACAGGCGTGAGGACCTGAGTTTGGGTCTCCAGAACCCACTTTAAAAAGCCGGCAACAGTTGTGGTGGCACAGGCTTTCAATCCCAGCACTCGGGAGGCACAGATAGATGATGCTCTGAGTTTGAGGCCAGTCTGGTCTACAGTGTGAGTTCCAGGACATCCAGGGCAACCATGTCTCAAAAAAACAAAAACAAAGTTTTGATTGTGCACACTCATCGTCCTAGCACGAGGAAGGTGGAAACAGATGGGTTGTTGGGGCTTGGTGGTCACCCATCCCCAGGTCCTGGCAAGAGATCTTGTCTGAGATCCCAAACACTGAAGTAGAAGCCACTGATGAAGACACCTGATGTCAACTTCTGGTTCACAAACACATGTGCACACACACACACACACATGCATGCACTGTGCACCAGTCGTCAGGCTTCAGCTCTGCTGGCCTCTGGCTTTGGCCACACCCACAGAGGAGTAAAGAGCTGTAATCCCCTTGAGGACTTGAACAGTACCCCTGTATCATCCAGGCACACTACCTCATGACAACTCATAGTTGGGGTGTACACCCAGTGGGACATAGCAGCTCCCCTTATAGAAAGAAATATCTCCAAATCCCACTCTGCACATCAGGTCAAAAAGAATATTGACAGGCAGATGTCCCCTGGAATGTCCTTGTCTCCCCAACACCACCATCCTTCCAAACTCACACATTTGATTTGAAGGATCCAGAGGCAATTTGGAGAAAAGCATATTAGAAATATTAATCCAGTACCTTGAGGTGTCTGGAAAGATCAGTACTACAATCTACATTTCCATGAGCAAATGATCCTGTAAAATAAAGATAAAAGCCCAGTTTCTCCTCCAAATTGATTTATCTGGTGGAATTCATCCTGATTGCTGACAGCTACTTCCATCCACATTTATCAAAAATCAGCTCCGAACCCAAACCAAAAACAACATCTTTGAAGACTGGGAAACACCGCTCCCTTTCTCCCATCCTGCTTTAGTGAGAGTCCCCAACTCCTAGGAGTTGTCTTTGTTTAAAGCAAATTCATGTCATAGTGTGGAGGTTTTTTCACCAGAGCTCTAGAGCTCAGTTCCCAACATACTGCCAGGTAATGGACAAGATCGGTCCCACCAAATCTGCACCCCAAAGATGGAGAGTCCTTTCCCCTTAGCAGTGGAATGAGGTCCAGAGCTCCACAGAGCAAGCCTGCACCCTGAGTCACACAAGGTTTCACCCAGTCTCCAGAAACTGAGTGTATGTTGAGGGGTGTATCTTCTGCACCCACACACATTTTTAGTTTGGCATTTTGATACAGAGCCTCAAAATGTAACCAAGGGTAGCTTGGAATTTATAATCCTCCTGCCTCACACTGCCGAGTGCTGGGATTCCAGTGCATACCGTCACACACAGCACAGCATTTCAGGCAGGACTCCATCTATGTGATGTATCAGCCCCACTAATGTACAACAGAATCGTAAAAGAATCAGTGCAGTAATCATGGTTTTTTTTTTTCCATTTGCACATCCCGCGAAAATAAAATTAAAACTACAGTTAAAGACATCACTTCTCTCAGGAGCTCGGGAAACATCCTGTGGTCTTTTCCTTAATCCCATGGGACACACCTGCTCTCTGAACAGTGCTGCGGGAGACAGCTACCTTCAGGGTGCTGGGGAAGTAGAGGGTGCTTTCTGACATTGATTCCTGGAGAGGAGAATGCTAGAGGAAAGAGAGCTGAGACTGTAAGTCCTCAGAAAAGACACCGAAATCCCGGGCCTTTAAGTCACATTTATAAAGCCAGTCAGTGACACAGGCCAGGTGACTCCACTACCAGATACAGACAGATACAGAATTGTGCCAACTTCTGCTGGATGGCCAACACCCAGGCTGTCGAGGGCTGTGTGCATCCAATCCCCTTCTAGATCTGCACTGCTCAGCCAAGCGTGAACAGAATGAGTTGCCATTGGTGTTCACACACACATGGGATGGGGTGGTTAGAAAAGCAGAGGCCACCCTCTCACGCATACAGAGGCCCGGATCAGTTGACTGATCACGTGTGGGGGTCTGGGCTGTGCACATGCATGTGTGTATATGTAGATGCACATGGCTACATAGGCACATTCATGTGCATGCCCGAAGACAGCATTGCACACTTGGATTTTTGAGACAGGGTCTCTTGTTGTTGGTTGTTTTCTACTCTTTACCCTTTACATTTCTTGGGGGGGGCTGCCACCCCCCCAAATAAATACACAGAGGTTTATTCTTTTTTATGAATGCCTGGCCTCAGCTTGGCTTGTTTCTGTCCAGCTTTTCATAACTCAAATTATCCTGTCTATCTTTTACCTCTCGGCCTTTACCTTTCTATATATCTATCTTTACTTCTTATTCCAGAGCTTGCTGTGTAGCTGGGTGGCTGGTCCCTAAAGTTCTCCTCCTTATCCTGCTCCTCAATCTTTCTTCCCAGATTTCTCCTTCTAGTTATTTTCTCTGCCTGTCAGCCCCGCCTATCCTTTCTCCTGCCCAGCTATTGGACATTCAGCTCTTCATTAGACCAATCCGGCAAAGTTTGAGACAGGCTGCCGGGCGGTGGTGGCGCACACCTGTAATCCCAGCACTCGGGAGGCAGAGGCAGGTGGATCTCTGTGAGTTCGAGGCCAGGCTGGACCGACAGCCTCCAAAACAATACAGAGAAACCCTCTCTTGTAAAACCAAAAAAAAAAAAAGTTTGAGACAGGCAAAGTAACACATCTTAATGGAGTTAAACAAATGCAACACAAAAGAACGCAACATGGGCAGTAGTGGTGCACACTTTTAATACCAGCACTCAGGAGGCAGAGGCAGGCAGATCTCTGTGAGTTCGAGGCCAGCCTAGTCTACAAAGTTGTCTCGAAAAATCAAAAATAAGTAAATAAATAAAGATAAAAAGAATGTAACGCATCTTTGCAATGTTAAATAAATGTTTCACAGCATAAACAAATGTAACAAATCAACTAATCTTCCACAACAGTCTCTCACTGGCCTGGAACTTTCCAATTAGTGTAGGTTAGCTGGCAAACAACCTCCAGACATCTGCCTCTCTCTAACTACCCTGATCTGGTATTGCAGAGCACATGGCCTTGCCTAGCTTTTCTTTATGTGATTTCTGGAGACAAGGATCAGGTCCTCATCCTTGCAAGGCAAGTGCTTTGCCAACTGAAAAATCGCCCCAGCCCACTTCTGACTTCGTATGAGGCATCTCATCTACAAAGACTGGAAATGCCATCTTGAAATTAAAATTTAGGTGACCTCTGAGCAGCATTCATATAAAACCAATTACACCTGAGGGCAATTATGCGCATGGCAATTCATGATGTCACACTGGTAGCTGAAGCCAGCTGTGGTAGGAGTATTTATGCTCAGACATTGGTGGATACTGTGAATTAAGACTTTTTGAGACCTAGGGCGGTTGTTAAACATGCACAGCCTATTACTCAGGCATATATGCATAAAATATGATATGTTTAATGTGGGGCTTATGGAAGTATGGGCCTAGAACATTTTAACCTGAACTAATGCAGCCAAGGGAAAATTTGTGTGTTTGTGTGTGTTGTGGGGTGGGTGTGCAGACCAGTGATCAATATTAGATGTCTTAATCATTTCTCTGCCCTAATTTTTGAGAAAGGGCCTCTGTACTGACTAGCTATAATTGTGTGATAACTTGACAGAACTTAGAATCACTTGGGAAGGGAGCCTCAATAAGGAGTGTCTACATTGGGTTGTCCTGTGGGCTTGTCTGTGGGGGATTCTAAGTTAACTGATGTAGGAAGACCCAGCCCACCGCAGGCAGCACCATTCCCTAGGCAAGGGTCCAGTGATGTGTGAGCATAGAGAGGTCAAGCTGAGCACAAAGAAGCAAGCAACTGAGCATGCATTAGTTTCTCTTGGCTCTTGTGGGCATGACAGGGCCAGCTGTCCCAAGTCCCTGTTGTTGTGACTTCCCTGGACTGATGGGCTGTACCTGGAATTGTGAGCTAGAAGAAAGCCTTTCTAAGTTACTTTTTGTCAGGGTATTTCATCACTATGACAGAAAGGAAACTAGGACCTTCTTTTACTGAATCTGGAGCTCCCTGATTTGGCCGCCTAACAGGCTCCAAGCCAGAGCCACACAGGAAGCCTCAAGGCATGCCTCCCAGCAACCCACTTCTTCCCGCCAAGTTTTACCTCCCAAAGGTTCTACCACATCCACAAACAGCACCCCCTCCTGGGGACAAAGTGGTCAAATATCTGAGCCTCTAGGGGACATTTTATTGTACTTCTAAGCAGTAACACTCTGTGTAGCTGATCAATGATTGAATTCCCAGCTCCTGCCCTGGGGCCCGACATTCAGCAGAGAGCCGGTGACTGATTGGCTCCAGGATGGGGAAACCAACAAGAACACTAATAATAGTACTTGACCTTCAGGAGCCCCTTCCATTAGAAGCAAATAAACAGCATTACAAATTTAGCTGGTTCCACGGGAGCTGCCAAAAACCTGATGTCCCAGTGGAAATCATTCTCCCAGGCCCCAGTGCCAGTCTTACCATGACACACTGACCTCAGGAAGGAAGAACTCCTTGCAAGTTCCAAGCTCTACAGTGTGAATCAACATGACCCGTATGTAGCTTGCTTCCTCTTCGCGTGGAGGTGACTGATGGGCCATTCCCACTGACTTCCTGGAGAAAGCCCAGCCGCTCCCCTGGATGGTCCAAGTCTTATCAATACCAATTCCCAACAGGACAAATGCCATTTTGTCACCTTGTTATGCGAGGTACCCCCAAAGATGCCGTGGCAAAATGCAAAGGGGAAATAGACAAAGGGGGCGTAGCGACTCACGTGAGTCAAATGTTGGTATCGGGCACGCCCAACACCACCACCTCTACCCTCACAGGGAGGCAGGTAAGCTGTGTCCTCGATTTTACCACCTGTCACTCACCTGCCACAAGGATCTAGGCAAGGACTGATGTTCATGAAGAGAACCTAGAAAAGCCAGCCACTTGGATAAATCCACCCAGAAATTTGGATATATTTCTGAGTGTCTTCTCGGCAGGGCTTCGTTCAGGGTGTTATTCCTCATAAACTTGGATCCATGGGTGCACTGTCTCTTGGTCAGTATCCAACAGAAAGTCCTGGAGCCTCCACCTGCAGCACTGTAAGGTATGAGGTACATGCAGACAGAGGCTCTAAAGAGAAGTGAGGGACACACAAGAAGCAGCTCTGAAGGAGGAGGCACACACAGGAAGAGGCTCCGAAAGACCACAAGATAGACGCAAGAAGCAGTTCTGAAGGCGTGAGGCTCTCACAGGAAGCGGCTCTGAAGGCATGAGGCTGCCACAGGAAGTGGCTCTGAAGGTGTGAGGCTGCCACAGGAAGTGGCTCTGAAGGCGTGAGGCTCTCACAGGAAGCAGTTCTGAAGGCATGAGGTTCTCACAGGAAGCAGTTCTGAAGGTGTGAGGCACTCACAGGAAGTCACTCTAAAGGTCACAAAACACACAGGAAGCAGCTCTGAAGAATGTGAGGCACTGGCAGGAATCAACTCTAAAAGACATGAGGCTCTCACAGGAAACAGTTCTGAATGGCGTGAGGCAGGCACACAGGATGCAGCCTTGAAGGGCATGTGCTTCCTGACTAGCTCTGACCCATGATCCCATGTGTGCCAGCATCTGTCCTGGAGCATCTAGCCTGGGGCAGGCAGGCTGAGGGTGGCCCCTTTGATGCACAAAGCAGAAGTGTACCAAGTAAGCTCGAGGTGAATGACGGGTTTAGACAAGGCATCCATGAGTTCAGGGGAGCAGAGATCAGGACTCTTCTCATCTGTCCTCTGCTCTTCTCACCTCCTCCCTGCCTCCCAGCCTTCTCAACTAACCCTTAGCCAAAATGGCTGCTCAAGTTACACTGCAATCTTCCAACGCAAGAAATCCCCTCTGTGCCTTTTGTTCTTAAGGGGTTCTGATTGGCTCAAGCCGGTACCGTGGGCCTCATATTTCCAATCAACTGATCATGGTCACCAACTGACTGGAGCCAGTCTTCCTCACATCAGAGGCACGGGAAGGAAATACCGCTGTGTATAGTTATGTGGTAGCCAGTGCATGCTGAGTGAATCAACCTACCAGCTAAAGGGCCATTTCCCCACAAATGGAGAATAAATAACCATGTGGGGATGGATCAGTGACACCCCCACTCCTGGAAGCAGGAGTTCAAGTCTGTCTTTTAGGGCAGCCATGTTCAGTCTCTGGAACAGGCTTTTTCTTTTAAGCCACAAACCAGCTTCCTAAACATGGCATGAAAACTTATTACTAGTTATGAATGCTCAGCCTTATCTTAGCTCTTATTTTAATCTGTTTCTCTTTATTTTTTTTTTACTCAGGACCTTTTACCTTTCTTTTTTTCTGTATATCTTACTTTCCTACTTCTGTGTCTGGTTGGCAACTGCCAGGCTTCTGGCCCTAGGAGTGTTCCTCTCTTTCTCCATCATTCTTTCCTTCTCCTTCTCTCTTCTAGATTCCTCCTCCTACTTATTCTCTCTGCCTACCAGTCCCGCCTATCCCTCTCCTGTCTAGATATTGGCCATTCAGCCTTTTATTCGACCAATCAGATTCCTTAGGCAAGCAAGGTGAAACAAATGCAATACATCTTTACATAATTAAACAAATGTAACACATCTTTACACAGTTAAAGTAATACTCCACAGCACCTATGGGATTCTGTTTAAGCCATTGATGGTATGATGTAGAAAATTGGTATGTAGTACCTCTAGTGACAGATGTTCCATTTGTAGAACAGCAGCATCACCCACTTCTTAGGGTAGTTGTGAGAACTGAAACATGTCTGCAAAGAAGAGACCTGAAATCCCCAAGCCTGGACTGCATGGCCCAGAGTTGCAGCCATTGCTACAGAACAGCTAAATTCCGGTCCCTCTCTGTTTAGAAGTAGGAGCCCCCACCCTTCCCTTGCCTGGAAACAATACTGTTCTGCAGGGGGAGTCCTAAGACTTGATATCAAGATGAATTGTACTCCCAACTCCTTATGTGGGCTAGTGAAGCCACTCTCCTTGTCCAGGCTTCTGTGTCCTAACTTGGGCAATCTGAACTTTAGAAACAAACCAAGTCAGGAACTGGAGATAGTCCAGCCAGGGTCGTGTGTTAACTCCTGTGTGTCAAAACTGTGGACCCAAATGAGCAATAATCACCCATCTAGTGACTCCGTGTGTGTGTGTGTGTGTGTGTGTGTGTGTGTGTGTGTGTGTGTGTGCTGGCTAGCCAAAAGGCCCAGTGGGGCCCACCAGTCTCTGGATCCTATGCCACCACACCCAGCTTTTTCTATGTGAGTTCTGGGACTCAAACCCAGGTCCTTGTGTTTGCCAAACCAGCACCTTATCCACAGAGCTATCTCCCCATTCCTCTAGTGAGTTTTGTATATGTTCTACCCCATAAAGAGAACTTGACTCTGAGATTACATCTCGCCTACTCTTTTGGCACCAAATACTTTCTTCCATTCTTCCATTAGGGAGTGGTGAAGGTCACATTTTGATTTTATACTTCTATTGTCCTTTCTTGAAGAAATTATAAGGTGACAGAGTTGTGTCCACTCCCCTCCCCCTGCTCATTTTCACTGGCCTATAAAACCCCAGGTTGGCAACAATTAGTAGATAGTAGATGTGGTGGTTAATCTTCAGTCAGCATGACCAGATTTGGAGCTACATGGAATACACATCTCTGGGCATATCTATGAAGGTGTTTCCAGACAGGTGTAATGGGCAGGGGAAATAAAACACCGTGAATGTGGATTGTGCCATCCCATAAGCTGGAGTGTCAGCTGAACAACAGAAAAAAAAAATGATGAGCCTAGCCCCAGCATTCATCACTCCCTGCTTCCTGACTCCTGACTCTGGGTGCAAAGTGACCAACTACCTCATGCTCCTGCGGCCACAGCTAGAGTGGCCCTCAACACCGCACCTCCCGGATGGACTGTGAGCCAGGAGAAACCCTTCCTGCCTTGAATTGCTGTAGTCGGGTGTTTTGTCATAGCGGTGAGCAGAGCACCAAACGTGGCCGGTGGGATGATGAACTCTGAAGCCTTTGATGTCCTGACCCGATCAGAGTCTACAGTGAGCACAAGGGCAGACCTGGGATCCAGACAGCCTGGGTTTACTGGGAACCATGTCACACTGGACAGGTCACCCGCCGCTTCTCACCTGACCTGTGGAAGGGTGTTAAGAGTGCCCAGCTGACAGGTGGTGGCGCTGTAGCTAGAACTAAATGTGTTTAAGATCAGACCGGCTTTGGTCGGTGACCAGCATGGAGAAAGTGCCCATTAAATAGTTGGCAATAATGAGGGTGGTGCAGAGGGGCTGAGAAGCAGAGGAGGAAGAGAGAGGATGAAAGAGGGGAGGGGAGGGGAGGGGAGGGGGAAGGAAGGAGGTTTGCTACTGGTAGCCCCTCTTCTCTTGGACATCTTTGGGTAACAGAAGCCCTTAGCCGAAACGTCAGGAACCAGAAGGCACAGAGTACCCAGGGCCCATCTTGTTTCCAGGTGGCAATTACATTGCCCACTGGGGAAATTAAGCATGTGATTCTCGGTATCAGGGTCCCATCGTGAACAGATGCCGAGCCACCTCAGCTGCTCTGCGGGCTCCCAGGGGAGACAGCACCGGCTGGGGCCCACCAAAGGCTCACTTTCTGAGAAAAACTCAGCCCAGGTTTCAGACTCTGGTCAGATGTCCAATCTGCTAAGGTGGGGGCGTGGCTAACCCCTTGAGCCTCCTCAAAATACTCAACAGGGTAACAAGATTCCAAGAGCCGAAACCACTGTAACTTTTCGCCAATGGCTGACAAGAGATGGGAACTATGAAAAGATAATGGAGGAAGGTTAGCAACATGGGACACCGCGGGGGACAGGGGAGTAAGAATGTTGGGAGTGATGCTCGTTTAGGACTCTGCTTTGATTGGTTGCTGTGGGAGTCATATTCTTGTCCCTAAAACAGTCAACTTTGAGGATGAGTGGATTATAGAACCAACCAGTCAAACAAACAAACAAAAACCCTGGCCCCAGTGACTGCAGAAAGAAGACAGTTCTGTCTGCAAAGCTCTGGGCACATACATAACCAGTGAAGAATATGGCAGTTTGAGTTCCAAAAGCCTGAAGAGCTCTGTTTGTCTTCCCGAGGGGAACCGACCCATCAAAGGCACGGTTACCTACAGGATAAGTGGTAAAATCTCACTCAATCTCTGCTTAGGTGGGAGCTGGCTCCTCCAGAGACACAAGAAGACACGGGGCTGCCATTCTGTTTGTTCAGCAGAAGATTGAAATCTTCCAGCTAATTTAGAGCTATTCATGCTACTAACGTCTAATGTAGGGAAAGGGTGAATTAGTTGTGAGCAATTGCCTGAGTCTGAAAGCTTATAAGCCCCAATCTTAACCAGAAGGCAAGTGGAGGCAAACCCATCTGAAATGTTTAAAGTGCAGATGCAGAAATTTATATACATACATACTGGTTTTGATTTTCTCGGCAATTGATAGTAGTACTACCACCACAGACATTTTGTAGCTTGACACACCTGAGTAAATGTGTGATTAGACCTTCACAAACTACAAGACTAGCACCAAAAGACTCACGTGGTTCTCTTCCAAGAAGAAATAGTTCCAGAGTGGACTGGGGAGATGGCTGACTCTAGAGGTAAACTGCTTGCTACACAGGGTATGGGGACCAGAGCTGTGACATCCCCCCACACACACACATTTTAAAAGCCCAGAGTAATGACACATGCTTGTATTCCCAGCGCTCGTGGGCTAGACCCCAAAAATGTCAAACTCCAGATTCACTGAGAGAGTCTACCTCAAAATGAAACAGGGGGAGCAATAGAGACTCCTGATGTCAATCTCTGACTTCTACACACACCCGTACTTCACCCATATGCATGCGCATGCACGTGTGTGCGCACACAAGCACACACACACACACACACAGTTTCTGAGACTTATGTCATTACATTCCATGCACATCCTAAGCAGGTCTCTGGGGTTCCTGGCCAGCTTTTCTTCTGTTGTGTTTTCAGTTTCTGAAAACACTGCAGGTGTGTTCACAGAGATGTCTGTGGATTGTACAACCTCTTGTATAAGCAACTCATCTCTGCACATGTTGGCTGAGTGCCTACTAAATGCAAGTGTGAGTGCAAGAAATGCCCATGTTTCCTTTCCATCCACTTGCAGCAAATGTTGGTTAGAAGGTAATCTTTCCTCCTTCCCACACGTCCATATGGCAGTGCCTTCCGGAGACGGCTGTGGGAAGCCAGAGGTGGCTGCTGTAATGATCAATGCGCCAAGTCCTTGCTTGCATAGGACTCTGAAGTGTATTTAGTTAAGACAGCTCATCTCTGAGAGGATTTGTGGGAAACAGTGTTGTGTACCGCTTAAGAGGCCTTACACGGAGTAGCACTTGGACACGTTTGT